ATTGTAGGCCCTACGGTTATGGCTATTGCAGCCCTTACTCCTACCGGTACAACAGGTACAGCCGCGGCAGCTGCGGGCCCTGCTAAATCCTACAGAAATATCCCCTGAGTAAGGAATAACCGGCAACTGAGAGATACAATCTTGATCCACAGCTGTGATCCCAAAGGAGACGTTGTGAAGTCCTGATCACTGCCACCCCACTGCAGTGGAGCCGGGAGCACACAGCACATCCTTAACTTCTTCACCTCTACTCATGGTCTTTTGGGCTTTTTTCCATCTATGTGTATAACGGGTGGGATAAAACAAGTAATTTATGTTCTTATAAAATGGCACTTCATTGTCCAACCAAAGAACAATCATGGAAGGAATTGCCTGCACTCTGATGCATATTCTTGATGTTCTACAATGCTTTTCTGTGAATGTTTATTTCTCATTAAATGATTCTACTCTGCATCAAACAAATCAACTTTTAGTTTTAATTTCTTCTGCTATGGATATACAGCTCTCTTCTCTGTAAATGCGGAAAACTCACATCCTTACATAGGATGAGGCTCAGACTTCAAAAACACAGTTGAAATGGCCCAGCTATCAGTGAAGTCAGTCACCCTTTGGTGCATTCAGTGCACACATTTGGGAGCAGAAATCCTCCCTCCCCAGCTGGCCTGGGTTACAATAATAACATGTTTAGAAAGAAACCACACTAAACCTCCATTCCTGAAATAGCCACTTGAACGTCTTTGCTGATCGTAGCAGGAGCAGAGCTGGTGGCTCAGCTGAGGCTGGATTCAAAGCAGATTATGGGGAAAAGCACAGCAGATGAGGCCCTCAGGTGGGAGGGATGCTCCTGAGTCAGAAGGGATTTAGGGAGGTGGGGAGAGTGCAGTGAAGGGTATTGGCATGGAGCTGCTGAGAGGAAGAGGATTAGAGAAGCTGCAAAAAGGAAAAGAGCTCTTCAGAGGTGGGTAGGATGTCTAATGGACCTTTTAGATGAGGAATATCATGGGAGAGGCTGAAAGGTAGAGCTGCTGAAAACGGGGGTTTCTATTGTGAGGACTTCCCATGCAGGAGGAATTGGGAAACACAACAACAGTGTTGAGGATATGTATACAGGGTTATGACTTTTTCTACCTTTTAAGCTTTCCAGGCACCATAACTCTGTTCTATCTGTTCCAGCTGTTCTTGCTGGCATAGATGAATTAGCCCTTGGGGTAGCCGTATGGAGTAGCTGGTTTTCTGTCAAAAAAACATCCAACACCTCAGATTTCATGATTATACAGAAAGATCATTACCTAAACTTCAGATTTAAAAGTTCCATTGGATGGCCTAGAAAACTAACTTTCTTTAAGGATTTGACAGAAAATTAATTCAACTTTCTGCAGAGACTAATTCTGAGGACAGAGCTCAAGTACTTGAGTGAGAACCTGAAGTTCAAAGAGATGAATCAAAGACTTATGTGGAAGAAATTCTTACTGAAGTCTAATGTTTTTAGGAAAGAGTTTAAAATTAGTAATCTACTGTTTCATTTCTTTACCGCTACTAATCTGTAACCAGTGGAGGTACGACCAAGAAACCAAATTCTTCAAAAATGTCAAGAATCTTTATCTGAAATATGGGGAGGGCAGGACAGTAGTTCCTTCTGTGCTGAGGGCTTCACACTTCCTTTGTACGTTTGAAATCCCTGATTTTTTGGGGCAGGACATTCATCTACATAGTTTAGACTGTTACTGACAGCTGCACAGGTTAGACTTCTCCTAAGACAAATAACAAGGATAAAAACATGAGAAAAGAACACCAGAACATGGCAACTTTGATGCAATAAACTTTTAATGATAGTGAGAAAAGGAATGCATTTTCAGAGTCTCCAAGAAGTACAAAACTGTTCTCCAGTCAGGGGTATGTTCAGTATGATTGATTTTTTTTCTTTTTTTTTTTTTTTCCTCTTCCTGAGTCTTAGCTTTTGATTTGAACGAACAGGAACCATGTTGGGCAACTTTGTTACCTGTTTACCCCAGGTAATACGGAAATGTGAGAGGAGAAGCATTAGGGCAGAAACTGAAAGTAGAAGTTAAGAGGAGAAATTCAAAAGGGGCTGAAGGTTCCAGCTCTGTGGTCTTGGAACAGAGCAGTGGAGGTTCAGACCTCTTCAGCTGTGAAACCATTGCATCTCATTTGTCGGTTACACCTCACTTAGGATATTTCTATAGGATTTAGCAGGGCCCGCAGCTGCCATGGCTG